TTCCTTTAAACATCTGTCTAAATATGGTAAATTTTGCAACGATTTCATGATAAGTTTCCCTCCGTTCTCTTGCATCACGGTATCGACTTCAACCCTCACACGTTCCTATGATCGTTCATCGATAATAATTAAAGTGTATTTTATAATATTTCGGTTTTTGTATGCATAGATACAAATAAATTTTTAATGAATGACAAAATACATCACAACAAAAGGTTGATATCTATACTTACTTTGAATGAAAATTGCAATTTAAATAATACACTACTCAAAAAAAAAATTAGGAATACTTTTCATACTCTAAAAATTGGGCTATTTTCAAATCGCTGAAACTCGACAAAAAATCATCGTAGACAAAAAATTGAAAAAGCGTTTTGAAGCTTGAAGTTAACGCCCTATCGGTGGTTTTAAAAAATTTTTTTATCTTCTTTGTTTTAAAAAGAAACCCATTGTTTTGTTTCTTAAAATTATGTATTTTTGACACTTTGCAGCTCGATAAAAAATATTCTCTCGAAGAAATCATCTCACAATCAAGTTCCATAAACTACAACATTTTGCCTACAAAATGCTGTTTTAAAAATTTTCCTACGATTTTTTTTGACTGAGTTACACGATTTTGAAACTAAATCTGTATTTTCTAGAAATGAGAAAATAAAAAAAATTTTTTGAACTATTGATATTACGTTACAGTTGAAACTTCAAGCTTCAAAAAACGCTTTTTCAATTTTTTTGTTTGCGATGATTTTTCGACAACTATCGACATTATTTCTAAAAATACAGGTTTAGTTTCAAAATCGTGTAATTCGGTCAAACAAAATCGTAGGAAAATTTTTAAAAAAGCATTTTGTAGGCAAACTGTTGTAGTTTATGGAACTTGATATGAATTTTTCGAAAGAAATTTTTTTATTGAGCTTCTTTTTTAAAGTACAGAACACGGAAGATAAACAATTTTTTAAAAATCAACAATAGGACGTTAAAGTTGAAATTTCAAGCTTTAAAATGCTTTTTTTAATTTTTTGTCTACGATGATTTTTCGTCGAGTTTCAGCGGTTTGAAAATAGCCCAATTTTTAGGGTATGAAGAGTGTTCTCTATTTTTTTTTGAGTAGTGTATATCGCAATATACTGAGAAAAAGGTACCTGGACATCTTTGTGTTCAGCTAATAGTAATAAAGCAAAGGTCATACTCATCGCTGTAGTATCGTGACCCTGTAATCATCGTCATATGCATACCGTATTATAGTTAAACGTGCTTAGATGATATGTACAAAAAATTAGAAAAAGAGATTCAGATACATACCGCAAACATAAACGTATCGACTTCTTCTCTGATGTCCAAATCAGTCAACAAATTGTCTTGAGATGCCGCTATTAAGAGATCCAACATGGCTAGCCGCTTTTTTTTAACTAGAAATAAAAAAACACGTTAGCGTCAATCTCATTTTTGCATGTCGCGCTTTAATTATATAACATTGTTTTTGTTTAAAAATGTAGATTTTCTATTAAAAATAATAATGATTCAATTTTACAGCAGACATATGTTGCATTATTACGTGTGATTATGTGTTTAGTATAAATATTACAGGCATAATTTAATGTTCGATTGCGTAATCAAACTTAAATATTAGCTCTGATCTCTTACGTACTTCCAAATACTTCGACATCTATCTCTGTCTCTTTGTCATTTTCAAGATTTTTCAAATATCGACCATTGGTGCGTTCGTGATAAAGTTTTCCTTCCGCGATGACCTACACACAAGTATGATATTAAATTTTTTAAATGATTTTTTCTATTACATAACAATAGCACATATCGTATTATATCATAAATATTAATAGCATAATGTATTATTAATATCTATTGTAATTTTATATAAAAGATAACGTTTGAGTGGCAGATTTAAAAAATAATATGATTTATAACATACTTTTTCCGTAAATCCATGCAATATTTTCAAAATGTTTTTCTGCTTTCTCCCTTGCGGCGATAATGAGAACAAAAAATCGTTATAGAACCAAGGCATGAATCCTCTAAACCATAATTTAATAAAACTATATAATTTCAATAATGACGTAATTTTGTAAAAGCCTTATTTACAGTCGTTATAAAATCTTATAGTAATCTTTAAGTATCTCATTGATTGCAGAGGATATAGATAAAAAAATAAATTTTAAA